CTTTGTCCCACCTTCAGGCTTGGCTTTTCTTGGTAAGTACTGTGAGGTGATTAGCAGTTATCTGGAATAAAATGGCGCAAATAGCCAGTTGAGCCCAAAAACTGACAAACCTGACGTGCTGTGGTCGGAGTGGGAAAATTCCTGATTGCATCCGTTTTTTCTGAGCCCGGCTTGACAGTATCAGCAGTTATCTCAAACCCCAAATATTTTACCGACGAAGTTAAAAATGTACACTGTACACTTCTCTAAATTAAGAGTAAGACCTTCTTTTCGCATAATTTCTAAAACTTCTTTCAATTTTACTAAGCCGTCTTCAATTGTTTTTGTGTGTAATGAAATGTCATCTAAACATACAGCTGCAAGGCTGCATATTGCATTTATCAACCGTTGAAAAATGCTTGGGACGTTTGACAAGCCAAAAGGCATTCTGGTAAATTCATACTGGCCTTGTGGTGTAACAAACGAGGTGAAACGTTTAGATTCATCCTCCATTGGAATCTGACAGTAGCCAGATCGGAAATCCAGACTAGAAAAATAATAGGTTTCATGTAAACGATCAATTCAATCGTCTATTCTTGATAATGGATAGCGATCTTTTACTTTGAGGGTGTTTAGTTTACATTAGTCGATTCATAACCGGTTCTCTCGATTCTTCTTCCTAACCAGCAACACTGGTGAAGCGTACTGTGAATAAGATTCTTGCACTATGCCAGTTGTTAGCAGCTCACTTACAATTTTCTGCGTAGATTTCTGTTCGGTTTATCTATTTCTAATTGTATTTTTGTCGATGCACTTTTAGCACAACCCGATTCGTTAACATCCATCGCGAAACAATCCCGGTATGAGGTGAGGATATTAAACAATTTATCTTTTTGCTCGTCATCTAAGGTTCCCTTTTGAATTACATTTCGATTTAAAGGCAACAATTCCTCTGTAGTAATCCTTAAGATCTCCTGCTATGTATTATCCTCTTCTATACATGGCTAACATCGTGCTATTGGACGGGACTTCTTAATGAGTATAAAAGTGTCAGTTGAGTTAATTTTTGGTAAAAATAACCGCTGATTGGAATTGACTCTAAAATTGTTCTTGGTAGGCAAGACTCATACGCCTCTTGAAATCTAAAACTAGACTCGACATAAAGATCCCTAGCAAAATTTTTCTTTAACATAACTTCAGTGTTCAAAATGCAATTATGACTGATGCGTTCCCGACCGTAAGTTGTATTTATATGTAAGTGGCAGTGGTGGGGGAGGGGCGGGGCTTCCCGGCACGTGGCTAATCTGATCTTTCTCTGTACTCAATGGGATCTTTCTTGCGTATTTGAGGATCGGGTTCCAGGTTTGGTAAAGTTTTAGTGTTTCTTCTTTCCTGTTGAAATTCTCCGTATGTTTGTGGATTTCTATAGCTTCACGTGCAAGACCATTGTGGTATCCGGAAGTCGGTGCAAGAAGCTTGACCTCACCAAACTGCAGTTTCTTTTGTGCTCGTTTATCCTGGTTCCCATGGATGTTTTTGTTGTTCCTATGTATACCTTACGATATACACGATAGACTTCAGCGGTTAACAGTGGATTCCTCTTATCCTTGGCTGATCTGATTGATTGCTATGTTTTCTTTGTTGGCTTGAAGATTGTTTTTATGTTGTGTTTCTTCAACACTTTGCCTATCATGTTTGTCACCCGAGAAATGAGAGGCAGATATGCATTAGCCACCACTGGTTGTTCATCCACGTTTGGTAGTTTTCGGTTGCACGGCCCTGTCGACTTGAGGTGATCCAGTTCTTGCTCTAGATGTTGTGGCTCGCAAATGTTCCTTGCACGTTCTGTTGACGTTGTTATAATTCCATGTTTTTACCTTGGATGGTGATTTGAAAGTGCATGCAGGTACCTGTCTGTGTGTGTAGGTTTTCGGTACAGCGTGTACCTTAGTTTTCCTCCAGATTTCCAAGAGAGTTCTTAGTTTTTCTCCTTTTCCATTATAAATTGTATGCTAGGATGGTGCGCGTTCAGGTGGCCTAGGAATAAGTTAAGCTTCTTTTCCCCATGACTCCAAACCACAAAAGAATCATCTACGTATCGAAGCCATACCGTTGTTTTATAGTCAAAAGATTCAATAGCTTTCCTCTCGAAATCTTTCAAAAAGAAGTTGGCTATGACCGGGCTGAGTGAACTTCTCATAGAAATCGCCGTTCCACAGGAAGTAACTACCAGTGAGACATATCCGGAAGAACTCAACTAAATAGTTGAGCTCTTCCGGACATGTTCCCTAATGAAATCATTGAGGAAGTTACTTGATATCAAGTCAAGAGATTCTGTCAATGGCACTTTTGTGAATAGAGACACGACATCAAAGCTGACCAGGATATCCTTAGGTTTGTAGGATAATATCCTTAATTTTCCGGACAAAGTAAGTGGTCTCCTTGACAGGAGAGCTAGTTTTTCCTACATGAGGTTGAAGAAACGATGCAAGATGTTTCGCTAGGTTGTACGTTGGTGCTCCAGGTGCACTCACTATAGGTCTCAGCGGAACTTCAGGTTAGGGTAGATGACCTAATCAGTTTGTTGGTGTTCCGGAATATGGCTTGGGTAGGATACTTCTTTAACTTTAGGTAGGTAGATGGATCAAGGAGTTCCTGAATTTTCCAGTTGTAGTCTTCAGATCTTAACAGGACAGTTGTGATGCCCTCATCCGCAGGAAGAATGATCATATCTTCCAGTGAATTCAGGTTCTTCATTGCCATTCACATTTAAGGAGCAAACCATCTACGAATACCTTGATAAAACTCTGGGAAATTTAGAGAAATTTGTGGGGAATTTAGAGGAACATCTGGGGAACTTGAAGGAATTTATGGGAAATTTGTGTTTGAGGAATGTATGAGAAATTGGGGAAATTTATTGGTTTTTTGAGCGTAATAAAAATTGAAAAATACATTTCTTATCACAAATAGTTTTGGGGATTTTAATGAAATTTGTAACAAGCATTTGCAGGGAATTTGGAGGAATTTGAGGATAGTTTGAGGAATTGCTTGCACAAATTCAGGGGGGAGGGTAGTTTATCCCTTGTCAATTTTATATCATATTTTCGCAACTGTCGTCGTTTCAATTCGGCTGAAGAAGACATTGAAGATTTGAAGATAATGTAAATTGAAATAGTGGGTGATATGATATCTTGGATTGGTTGGAGGATGAATGTATAACCATAACCAGATCAAAAGAAACACCAATAAACACAATTTTACTAATTAAAATAATTTATTAAAAACATAAATAATTCCTCAATAAATAGAGACAATTTATAAAATAATAAGTACGTTAAGTACGTAAGTGGACTAAATTAGCAGAAAAATAATAATTACATACAACTTAAATTCGATTTCTATTTAGGTAACTCAGATTCCTAAAGAGATAAATTCGATTCTCCTAATTACCTACTTATTGTAGATTCACTTTAAATCTAGATCAATTTTTCAAAATAAATTCAATGCATTATTGGCAGTAGGTACACCTAATCCTCAACATTTTCGAGTCTAGTATCAGCGTATAATGCACATCATATTGTCAAATTTTGATTTGTGTTGCTCACCGATTTCCTGGAATGAAGAGAAAAATGTCAGAAAAACAGTAATGAATGCAAGGAAAAATGCGCGAACAAAATCCAATTCATATTTTTACTGCCCAACAGCAAAAATCTCAAATAATATATTGATATCTCATTGAAATGTTACTTAATATTCCACTAATGGAAGAAACATTTTTTTCGCCTTCACAATCACGTTGTTGACCAATGCAATTACAATTAAACTCAATAGAAATTAATCCTTTTTTTCAAATTTTAATGGGTCATTTGCCTCCTAGACAGATCATTATTCATTGTTGAACTTTTAGCCACGATAAGCTTCTAATCTCCTATATAAATTTAATAAAAATATTTAGCTGCCGATAATTGCAGTTTGGAATATTTTCAATTGTTTTAAAATTAGGAAAAATTATTGGTTAATCAATGAGAGTAAATATTTGAAGACCTTGTGGTGTTAAAATTATCATTTTTTTTTTTCAAATATTATGTAATACAATATTGATTATCAATATGAAAAGTAAAAATGTGTTTAAAGCTGATGTAATATGTAACACAATGTCTATTTCTGCGACTACTGGTTCAGAGGTCGCGAATAGTAATTAATCATTTTATTTTTTTAATTAGATAACAATTACGCGATTCTAGGCACATTTTAGATTAATCAAAGCGTTTTATCTGAGGATTACCAAGCAAAAAATAAAAATTCAGACAACAAACTTAAAAAGTCTTTATTTATGTTGAGATATACAAAATAAAAACTAAAACAATAGCAAGGCCCAAGTAGAACTAACAATTGATTAAACCTTGCAGGTTAATATAAAGTACAAATTAAAAGAAGAACTAACCTTGACAAAGGAGAGTCTATTAACCTATTCACAGCACAATACCAAGGCAGTAATTTGTGTTTTATTCTTTAGGATTTGCTATTTTGGGTGCTTCTTATATTGAGCAAAAATATCCTAGGATTGTTTAGAGCTTTTATCACATTACTAAACGAAGTATTTTGAGCTTAACTGAACTAAATAATTGAAATATGTATGTATAATAGGCACACATGATGCATTACACTTATGAGACAATAGGAATTTTAATGATGTATTCATTCAAATAAAGAAGTTTTAAATGAACATGAATGATACCTACATCATTATATACACTATAAGTACTAAGAATTTTCAAATAATATCAGCTCAAGTTTATATTTCTATATATGTATGCAAGTTACCTATCATTTTAGCTCAGTCATACATTTATTAACTCTTAATGGCTACATTTTATATCACAGATTTTCAATGAGATTTGTGCAAGGAAATGCATATTGCAGTCACAAAACTGAATATTTATAAGCGCGTTTTTCCTCCTCATCAACTAAGCTCAAATCGATATTAGCAATAACGCTTTTCGGCATTCCATTCAACATACCTGTCTTGGAATTCGACTCCATTTCGGTGCAGCGTGTCCTCGACTTTTCTTTGATACACCTGATAGCCAACAGACCAAATGAAGCAACTACAGGATTGATTCCAGCTAAAATAAAAGGCAAGGTGTAGGTTCCTTGTGAATCATAAATCAGTCCAGCAACATATGGACCAAGTGTGAGCGGGATGCTGCAAATTCCAAGTAGAAATCCTATGGCTTGAGCTCCGCCGTCTCTTCCGCATAATTCAAATGCAATAGGACCTAGTAAACTGATAAAACAGCCATCGGTTACGCCCATTCCTAAGCAAATGAACAAAAGCAACGGGAATGTGTTGACAGAAAATGCTAACAGAATCGTTAAAATGCCTAATGTTAAAAATGCCAACTGTTGCAATAATATTTTGTTAACATTGGTTTTGTCGACTAGATAACCAAATATCAATCTGCTTGCTCCAGATGTTACTCCAATACACAGCACAGGCAAATTTTCGTCGACGTTACTAGGAAAATTTGTCTTCACGAAATTAATCATGTAGACGTAAGGCACGAAATAACCAAAAAGGCACAAACCAATCACAGACGTCCAAATTAGATATTTAACATTCGTTATCACTGATATGTTGAAAACATCTCTCACAGATACTTTCTTTATCGATATGGATTTCTTCACAGGCTTGAATAATATTGCAACCACCATTATCAAGCTAGCTATAAGCGCTAGAGCCCTCAAAGTCCATTCCAGTTTGAAATTCTTGAGCAATTCTCTTATTATGTAAGGCATTATTATAGTGAAAACTGAACTTCCTGCTGTAACAATCCCATTTACTATTCCCAAATAGTTTTTGAAATAATGACCCAGCACGGCTAGGGATGGTGTGTAAGCCAGAGCGCCTCCAAGTCCGTACATTATTCCGAAGGTGAAACAAAATATGTTTACGTTGTGTGTGCAGAAGGAGGAGAGTAACATTCCGCCCGAGGCTATTAATCCACCGAAGAAGGTGGTTTTTCTTATTCCTATGTAGTCGGTCAGGATGCCGGAGACTGGTGATATGAAGAAGGTCATTCCCATTGCTAGAGAACCTGCCAGAGCTGGAACAAAGAGAAAATACGTTAAGATTGATGACTTTTTTTGGGTTTGTATTAATTCGCATGGGTCAATTAAACTTAAACTAAGAGATTTATGATTATTGACGCTTGGATTTTAATGCAATATGTTCATAAGTTACGCAGCTTATTGAAGTAGATCGAGTAAGTCATAATCAAGTTAACGCAGCTCAGAAGGAATCATGGTGACTCTCTTCTGAAGCACTCAATTGTCTAGATTCTAGATGATACAATTTTAAATTTGATAAATGAGTTGTCAGGTTTGAGAAACATGTTTGATGCAGAGCGAATTAAGGGAAAAAAGTGTTTTTTAAAAAAGACTTTACTACAAATTATTATTTATTACGAGAACACAATGTAAATTGGAACTAATTCTAACATTTAATTGCCTACTATTTCTATATAAAATATTGCTTAGCTTAGCAATGGAAACGGGTTTTCGCTGTTGAGCTATGGGTTCAATGATATTCGGTGGTATTCTGGATATATGGGGTCATTGATTCGTAATTTCTCCCTTCCCGGGGAAAGTTTTGTAAAGGACGAACAAAACTGTTGGTTCTTCTTCTTCGGGACTTGTTTCTTTCATTGGTGTCATCCTAAGGTTCTTGTTTGAAATCCTTTTCCTTCCCAGGTTCCATCTTTGTTTGAGCTTGTAACAAACAACTATTAACGGAAACGTGCCTTGTTGATTGCGTTTCGGCTTCGATTGGTTCAAGGTGTTTTTCTGCCCTTATTAATTTGTGAAGTTCATCCAAGGGTACCCGGGAGAGTTTCAGAGGCACTTTGGGTTGCCGATCATCGTTTCTTGTGTGTATTCTGGGAAGTGTTAATGGTTCTTCTTGGATTACAGTTTCCTCATTCAAGAAGTTTTCACTGGAAGCTCTGAATTCGCATCCTGGTGGTAAACTCTTCCAGCTTTAGGCGCCATCTACTTATTTGGGAATTATTGTCTTTCATGGAAAAAAGCCATTGGAGAGGACGGTGATCTCAAAATATCTTGAACTTTCTCCCAAACATGTAGGGTCTGAAGTACTTGGTGGCCCGGATTATAGCTAACATTTCTTTTTCAATGGTGGAATATTTCAACTAGGTTTCGTTGGACGCGTATGCAATGGGCTTATCGCTGCCGATTGGTCCTTGGGTCTTGCGATAGTATAGTTCCAATTGCATAGGCTAGCATCAGTAGTTAGATTAAAAGACTTGCTGAAGTCTGGATATCGTAGAAGAGGTTGATTTGTCAGTAAATTTTAGCAAGTTCTAATGCAGTTCAAAAAATCGAGTGTCAGTTCTATTTTAGCGTTCTTTTTGAGGCAGGAAATTAGAGTTTTAGTAATTTTTGCGCAGTCTTCGATAAACTTCCTGTAATATCCAAGGAGTCCTAGAAATCCTCGGATTTCCTTCCTGGTTCATGGTATTGGATAGTCAAGTATGGCTTTAATTTTAGCGGGATTTGGTCTTATTCCTTCTGGAGTTACAACATGTCCAAGAAAGGCAACTTCTTATTTTATCCATCCAGTTTCTCTAAGACGTTGAAAGATTTTTAAAAGATAAATTAGATGCTGTTGAAGTGATGTGCTGAACACAATGATATCGTTCATGTACATTAAAGCAATTTTATCCTTGGAGGCCTTTCAAAACGTTATCCATTACCCTTTGGAACGTAGCTGGAGCGTTTTTTAGGCCAAATGGCACCAGCACATACTCGTAATGGCTATTTTCGACATTGAAAACAGTTTTGCATATATCTTCGTTAGCCATTTCGATTTGGTGAAAACCATTTGCCAGATCCAAGGTCGTGAAGTACTGGCATCTACCAAGTTTGTCCAAGATGTCGGTTATGTTTGGAGTTAGGTATTTATCGTCGATAGTTTTCTCGTTTACTTTCCTATAGTCCACTACTATCCGCCCATTCTATTTTTCCGGAGGCGTCAGGTTTTTTTGAAACTATCCATATCACTTTGGTCTTGACTGGCTTCCAACATGGAAGATATCTGGTTTTTCACTTCCTCTTTATGGATATGTGGATATCTATATGACTTGGTGTACACTGGAATTTCATCTTTTGTTTTAATATGGTGTTTGATCTGGTTTGTTAAGGTCAGGGACATGTCTGGATAATGGAAAATGTGTGCATACTTCCTACATAAATCTTGTATTGCCTTTTCTTCTTCTGAATTTAGGTGACTAGTTCGCCAGTTAGGCGCCAGTAAGATGGAATAGAATTGGGTTTTGATTGTTTCGTAGTATTCAATTGGGAAAATGGCGTTTCTTGTGATAATGATATTCGGTGGTATTCCGGATATATGAGGTCATTGATCCGTGAATAGCGGCATTAAATTGAAGAGTTTCTATTTCTCACTGCAATATCTCTCAATCTTTTTGAAAGAAAAACTTCTCATGAATCTTGTTGCTGATCCACATGCTGTTTTCAAATAGGTATAAGTACCTACTTTGAAACATGAGTTGCAGAATGTTAGTAACATTTGGCAGTCTTAGAGTGTTGTTGATGGAATGGAAACAAAATGAAAATAAAATGTGAAGGTCATGTGAAGGTGTGCAATAGGTCAATGTATCGGAGCTCCTTTTTTCAAATCACTCTCCTGTCAAAGAGGCACATTTCCAGACATAAGTTACTAAAATTAAATGACTTGTCGCAATACCCCCTACAACCAAAGTCTCTACAACCCATATTAAGTTCCGAGATAAGCCACTATCCTATTGCCAAAGATTAAAAAATGTATAGTTGTATATGGCCGAAAAAGATAAGAGTGTTTTGCTTTTTTTCAAATAAACAAAATCCAGATAATGAGGAATACAAAATGTAACGTAGTTTGCATTTCTCAACTTGTTGTTTTTGATATTTCTGTTCTAATAATAAACGTGGAAATCCTTCAACATCAGATATATAGGATCGTAATGGATAGATACATAATTACTCATTGTGTTTTGTATTGGAGAATTTAATCTTTCACACTAGAATAGATAAGGTTTTACATAATCAATCGGATATTATGATAACCATTTCCCTTTCAGGAAATTACGTTAATCAAACAGTGATCGTCCACAAAATCAATAATACTATGAGTTTTAATCTAATCTGAAACTTATATGGATATCAATATTCAATTCTAGAAATAAAGGTGCAGGTATTTATGTTAAGTATTTGTCCAGAAAGTTTCAATAAAATATAAACTGCGCTTTAGCTCTTTTTGGATTCACACCTATTATGGCATTACGGTTATTTTATCAATCTCCTTTTTTGATTTGGTATAATAATCAATACTTGTCTTTCCAAAATTTGTTGTTCAAAATACCAAATATTTTATGAGAGATATAGACGAGTACCTACAGATGATTCATAATTATTTTGAATCAAGTTATTCACAAATCATGAAAACAAGATGATGATAATTAGATTGGGAAGTTTGTTATTGAGTTTATCTTATCAAACCTGAGTATTTCCGTTGCATATACTATAATAGATAAGAGTAAGTACCTATATTCACAATAATTGGCTGTTTTGCCAAGTAACATTTTAAATGCTTTTTGGCATTATCTAGGTTATATGAAAGCGTTAAGAATGTGAAATTAGAAGCTTACTATTTTAAAACTATTGTGTTTTATTGTAGAGCTGTAACAACATTGTAATCACCAAATATTACAGCCTTTTAGCATTAAAAACGCGAATCGTTTTAAAGTAGCCGTAATAATGCTGCAAACATTTCTAGCTTAAAGCTATTTTACTTTAAGAAAGATCTGGAAACCGTTCTGCTTTATCTTAACTTACGAATAAGGAATTTAGCTGTATGAAGGGAGTGCAAAAGTAAAGCTTAAAACTGCAATAAAACCGAAGATCAATAAATAAAGCCTGGATTTAAAAAAAGATGTCTCTAAACTTCATACCTTTCTCCGATACCAGAAAGAATTTTTAAAACATAATTGGTTTTAAGAAGGGGAGTAAAGAAGCTGCGTTAAATCTCAATTTTTCAAAGTTCCTGGGTTGTGATGTAGCACGCGAAAGTGGCAGGCGACATTTACCGCTCAATAAAATTAGTATTTTGAAATCTTATTTTAACCTAACAAAAAGCTTGTTTGTGGTCTGTAAGGTCGTGTCTGTAACGTAACGGTTTGTTTCAGCTCACAACAGAAAACAGGTGGTTAGGGTGGTTTACTTACAAAAGGCCTTTTCGGAAAGATAGAAAACAAACAGCTGGTGATCGGATTAATGAGAATAATTGGATCTGAATCAGCGTTTCCGAAAAAGCCTAATGTTTTCAAAATTTTATGCTATATCTAGCGAAGAAGGTCCAAACCCTCTCAACGCACCAAGCAGGTTCCAAGATAACGAGAGCATTGAAAGAGTTTGAATCTTCTCCGCCAGATGGAAGCATAAAATTTTGAAAGCAGCCCTATTTCAGACAAATAACTTAGAGTTTTATGAAGGTTTTATAGAGCCGTTTTATCCACTAGAAGCTCTAGGAATCACACGCTTTAAAGCAAAATAGCTTTAAGAACAAATAATCCAAGGTTTGCAGGCCTATTTTTACGCAATTAAGATTTGTGGTATATAATGAAAAGAACTGTTGGCTTTATCATTATTTCGCCATGTTTGATTGTCATTTGAACGCGTTTGAATGGAATCCATTTTGTAGAAAAATATATTCACTGTTTATTTTTAGGTTCAGGTATTTTGTTGAATCTTGTATTGTAATTATGATTTTACAGCTTATTATAATTGATTCATCATATTCATGCTTCGAATATCCATGAAACGTGTAAAAAAATTGACACATTATAGGTTAGTATTTTTATATTTTTGTCAAAATTAGGGGTTTTTCAAGGCCCACGAGTTATTTGAACCTTTGAAGTACACTTTCATCAGTAAACTTGGGTTTGTATATAAATTTCAATACAGAATCACGTCTATCTGCGAATTACATTTGTGTAATACCACTCATAGTTATCCTAGATCGTCCATTACAGAT